ATTAACACATGTGTGAGCTGAGGTGAATATTGGCTGCATTCGTGCCTTAAGCTGCTGATGCTGAGATGACTTGAGCTGCTAATGCTGAGATGAGTCTTCCTCCTCAATACTCTTATCAGATAGTCCTCTATTTGCATCTTCTACAATTTAAAGTTTGAACTACTGAATTTTTTTGTCTTCGTTTTCCTTCTTCCATCATTGTTCTTGCTCTAAGAACTAATATTTTAATAGCACTTGTTATGATATATACAATCAAAACCAATCTCTAGGACCTGAGAAAATAATTCATGCACACAAAAATTCTAGATTAGAGGAGTAGAAGAACAAACTTACAAAGCATTAAAAGAGATTTATGTAGTTCACCCAAATTCAAGAGTTACATCCACAGAGTCACTGCAGTTTTGCTAAGATTAGAATAAAGGAGTTACAAAAATCTCTCTCTCACGCTTATACATTAAATGAGATGACATACACATTAACATGGTCTTACAAGTTGGATACAAAGAAATAAAACAAAGCTTGTAAATAAACATCTATATGTTACATCTTGATCAAAATGCTTCTCGAGCCAACGCATACGGAAAAAAAAGTTTTATAAAGCTAGAAGCATGATCTTCAAGATGACTACAAAAGTGTGAATCAAAACATCTTCCAAATAAAGTCTTAAGGACATCGCCTTGTTTCTCATCACCTCCATATATATAAGGGAGAGGGTGAGTTGAAAACTCAGTGAATGATATAAGTAATAAAGGTTTAAATGAATGATGTTCGAGATTTTATCAAAACATTGCATATCATAGCTTGTAACAAATCAAATGATGAACCAAGTTCATCAATCAAAGGCTTTCAAAACTTCAAGGGATGTTTACTAACATCTACATAATACAAAGGATGACATTCATTGACAAAACGAAGGAATAACCAACCCGAAATCGATTAGACAAGCCCACCCGTCGGTGGCAAAGGAGTTATCTCAAACAAAGGTACTAGTTGTATTAAAGTCCCCTAGTAGAAAAGGACCTTTCAAGAATGTCATAAAAACTAGCATAATACTTAATACAAAAACTAAGGGATAATCATTCATACTTGATCAAATACTTCTCCAAAACAAAGTACAGCTTTTATCTAAAACATTATAACATAACTTTATTAAAAATACGACTCACAATAGCTCTTTGAATGTAGGGATTAAGGCAAAGATCCAAGACCTACAAATACATGGTAAATCTCATTAACTGCACTTCAAGAACACAAGAAGGGATGCTCAAGAATGGTTATGCAATGTACTCTCAAACAAGCTTCAATTAGTGAAATAGATCTCGGCATTTCTTTCCAAAGGCAAGTCAAAACAAAGCAAAATAGGATCTAGAAGTTAAATCAATGTTTTTCTTCTTGGAAAGCATGTTGGGTACAAACCAGGTCTAGGAATGGATGCACAAAGATGAGCTGGGCCAAAATGGCCTAGTTGGGTGAACTTAGGAGGTCATGACTGAGGTTCCACACCTCTTGGCCGAGGTGGGGTCTCCCTGGTCGAGATGTGGCTTCCCGCCCAGAATGTTACAAGGTGTCAGCAAAGGTGTGCTATGGTCGGCCTAAGTGTTCATGCAAGGTAGACCAAGGTGCAGTGATCATGCAAGGTAGGCCAAGGTGAGATGCAATGCTTGGCCTATGTATGAAAGCTGGACCAGAGTGGGTCTCGGTGACCACATTTAGGGAAATCATGAAGTTTGGAAATCTGGATTTCCTCTTGAAGAGCATAAAGAACATGAATGCTAAAAAATCATAACTTCTTATTCAAAATTTGGAATTTCATGATATAAGTTCGAAAATATGGACTTGGGTACCCATACTTGAAGATTTCATGGAAAACAAGCACGAGGACATAGAACTTGGTATAAACTTTTGGATCAAAACATAGTTATTCTTAAAGACCACAAGAACATCACTTTTTCTTTCTAAAACAAAACTTTAAATCAATGGATGACTCATGAATCATGCTAGATTATGCAATTTGATCATATCAATATAAAGAACAATAAAAGTAGATCAAGAATCTAACTTCAAAACACAAATCAAATGGTTCAAGATATGAAAATCAAGATTGAAAAGTCTAGCTTCTTCTAAGAACTTCTTCTTCTTCTTCTTCTTCTTCTTCTTCTTCTTCTTCTTCTTCTTCTTCTTCTTCTTCTTCTTCCTAGAGCTTCTCTCTCTTCAAGACAAAGATATGGCAATGACATGGGTTTCTCAACTTCTAACAGACTAATACCCACTACTGGGACACAAGGCATCATCTGGTCAAATCTCCTCAAAAAGGTGTCTGAATGAAAGGACAAGAGTAGGTCAAAGTGTATACAAGAAGTAAGGTGGCATGGGTATTCTGACAAGGAGAAGATCTTGGATCAAAACATAGGCATTAGACAAGTAAAGTATTCCTGACTTTGGCTAGGAGGGGTAATACTTGGCCTAGGTGTGACACACCTCGGCCTAGGTTATACTAGACATGGAACAAGGGTTATTAGGTATTGGCTAAGGTGCACAACTCGGCAAGAAGATTCAAGGATCAAAGGTCTCGAATGCCTAGGTGATGCACACCTCGTTGAAGGTGTGAGGGCATAGGTAGAGGTCAGCCAAGATGGTTCCAAGATGGTCTTAGGTGTTGTCGCTTAACGGCCTAGGTGTAAGAGATTCAAAGGTGTGGCCTAGGTGTGAGGTAGCAAAGGTAGATAGCCTAGATTCAGCACACAAGCATGGAACAAAACAAGGATCTTATACATAGGCAAAAATACAATAGCATCAAAACAAGACAGGATCCCATACTTAGACAAAATATCAAAGTTTACAAGATGTAAGCTTAACAAACCAAAATCATGTAAATTCTTATAAATATGACTAATGCAAAAAGAAGGTTATTATAATGTAGTTTGTCTTCTCTTAATTTTTTACATAGATGTTCTACTTAGTGGACCCTATAAAATGAATGGTTTGAATCACTGAGATGATACCCGAAATGGACTCATTTAGGCCCAATGAGACCTCCCCAGTTGTATTCCGAATTGGAGAGAATCCAATCCCCTACTTAATTTATGTCAATCCCTATAATTAAGGGATATGACTGTATCTCTTACCCTATACATATGAGGGTCATCATGTAATCAAGATTATCAAAGAATGAATCATGGATGTAGTTTACAGTGACTTTTGGTGTGGACGTTGGCACCATATTAATCCTTTGTGTTCTTGTTCTTTTATTTTAATATTTCATATTTCTTCATCTAAAATCTAACAAATACATAATAACTCAAGAAAAGATTAAGCAGTCCAAACGGGGCTGAAGAAACATTCCCTTTCCAAAGTCAAATTTAGCACCTCCCATAGGTGAGGCTCCTGGTGACAAAACTGCTGATGAAAGCAATATAACAATCTAAGCTAAGAAAATAATCGTAAGAAAGAATACACCCTATGCTAAGAAAATATCATCTCCAATTTGCTTGCAGAAAAGGAATTGTGGACCCACAACAATGCTTATTTGGCCTTCTCACAAAATGTAAAAACTACTGACAAACTGATTGTTTCTCCCTATTAGTAAAAATGTCTAAACTAGTAGATTTTTAATTTCACTGAAGTTGTATTAGCCTGTGCAGGTTCCATAATGATTTAGAAAGATTCAATCCATTTCCATTATTCATTCATAATCAACAAGAAGATTCAAAAACAAAATAGCCAGCTTAATACATTTCATTTATTCATGTTCATCAATGATTTAAAAAAATCTTCAGAGTCTAAAATAATAAAGAACAAACTAAACACCACAGCAACCCAATATACCAAAAACAAACCAATCAAGCACACTTGTCAGTGCTCTAAAATTCAATATATATTCCAAACACCACACCAAGCACATAGGCTAGTGCTATAATATTACAGTAATCTAAATTATCTACTAAATATAGTCATCAACTAAAAAAAGATCATAAAAACTAAAAAGTGGTGCAACATGCTGTAAACCAGCCAACCAGGAGGCCACGTAGTAGAGAATTTTCTCAACCTGAAATCGGTAGTGTTGAAATACAAATATATCAAAGCTGATGATAGAAAATAGAAGAAAAGGCTAAAATATTTGAATATATTTTCTTTACCAAGCCATGCTAGATGCTAATAGTACTTGAACTTGGCGTTGAGCTTGAGTTTGGTCCAGAATTGCAAAAAATAAATAACATTAAATATCAAAAATAAAAGTTTATTCAAATTTTATGCAAACTAATGTAACTATAAACTATATTGAGTATTATCTGAGTCATATTCTTCAAATTGCTCAACCTCTTCTATTGTGTTGCAAAGAGAAATAGGGATAGTGCTTTGAAGCCAGTTATGTGCAAGTATAAGAACCTCTACTATCATTGGAGCTAATGATGGATCAAATATACGTCTTTCCATACTAAAGGTTTACTCAGAAGCAACGGTAGAAATTGGCATTGCCAATACATTGCATGCTACATGGGACCACACTCAATCCTATGAAGAATTGCCCTTCCATTATCCCAATGTATCAAATTTCTAGAGTACTTATCTACCTGAAGACTTGCACAAACTAGAATGTTCCTACTCTAAATAAGAACTAAAATTGAGAAGCAATAAGTGCATGTGGATCATCGCAATCATCATCTACCATCATCCCAGGTGCTTCACTCACATTAGCCACTTGCACACTTATTGAATCATGTGAAGTATAATACTCACATAAACAAGTCAACCAATCCTTCACCTGACACATCATCTCTTTCAACACTTTTTCAACAACTAATTATGAGAAACAAAACTTCAAATATTTCAAATTTCTTTGGGGATCAAGCATTACACCAGCATACACTAGTAGATTTTTATCCCCATTTCCCTGAATATTTGTCAGGACCATTTTCAATCTTGGAGGGACATGTCAGAGAATTCTGCATTTTTCCATAATTCTAAAATTAACTTGATATTACAATCTTATTTGGCAGGTTTTCTTGCATCAACAATGGCCCTTAGAACTGTGGAAGGAAAGATTGAGTACATTCTTCAACTATTAAGCCATGGCAGAGCTAAAACTGTCGTTCTTGTTGGGCAACCTGGAGTTGGAAAAACATGGATGGCCAGAGAATTAACTGATCGTGCAACCGAGAGAGGCTTATTTGATTTCACTCTCTGGTTATTTCTGAACAGAGAATATGACAGTATGGCTCTTTGCCAAAGTTTTGCTCAGCAACTGTATCTACTTTCCACTGCAGAAGAGTTTGAAGATGATGACTATGAGGGGGAAGAGGAGGAGGAGGAGGAGGAAATGGAGCAGGACTTGCGACAAAAGATATCTGAAGCACTGGCACAAAAGCATTTTCTTATTATTTTGGATGATGAGGGAAAACAGATGAAAGAAAAAGACATTATGCCCAAACTGGAAACCCTGTTGAATCTCAGCCAGCAAAGTTCATATAAGGTTTTAATCACCACAAATAATCATCCCAACAGCGATATTATGGACTCTATGAGATCAGTGATCGAGGTAGAACCCTTGTCGAAGAAAGAGTCAAAGTTCTTGTTACAAAAAAGAGCTGGCACAAAAGTTTTTGAGCTTTCAGGTATTGAACCACTGGTTGAAGAATGTGTGCAAAGGAGTACAGGCTTACCTGCAGAGATTGTTGTGATGGGAAAGGCCTTAAGTTATATTGGACAATGTGATTCTGGATTGCAGAAGCTGGAAATTGCTTTGGAGGAAGTTGCTTATGGAGAACGCTTCGACATAGCACTGTTACTACGTTGCGGTTTTAACATACTTCCAGGTGGTATTCTAATTTATTGTTGTCGGCCTGACAGGCACTTTTTTCAAGACAGTGGATGCGTCCATTACAATGAGCTGATAGCTTATTGGATGATGGAAGGATATCTTGGTCAAGTGGATTGTATTGAGAAGGCTTACAATAAGGGATATCATGTTTTAAAGGAACTTATAGATTTTCACATCGTCAAAACTGTGGAACCTGATTATGTTGTCATCGAAGGAGCAGCAATTAATTTGCAAGACTGCAACAGAGGTGGATTTGGTTGGACAGCTAATTTGGGGCTGTCAAGTGTGTTCAGGTACGGCGAATGGGAAGGCCTTGGTAGAATCACACAGGTGGGTGGTATAATAAGATCACTTTCCAGTGGTAAGAAAGGACGGAAACTCTCAACACTATTGCTTGATGGGAATCGTATTGGCAGCGAAATCCCAGATTATTTGCTTCAGTCCTGGCAGGACCTCCATGTTCTCGTGATCTTCAACCCCACATTCAAATCACTGCCACGGTTCTTGTCTAACATGGACAAGCTTAACGTGCTTGTACTTAGGAACTGTCATTTTCTGGAGGAAATTGATTACGTATTAGAACTTAGAAGATTAACTGCTCTTGAGATATCTGGTCCTAGCTCCTTTTGTAGGATCCCAGATGATTTCTTTAGGGGCACACCAAGCCTTCGGAGTCTCAATCTATCTGCCCTACAAATCGAATCATTACCTTATTCTTTTTATGAACTTAGTGAACTAAGCTGGCTCATCCTTGGAGGGTGTTCTTATTTGAAAGAACTAAGATCTCTGAGACGCTTGATTAATCTTGTGGTGATAGATCTTTCTGGTTCTACGTCTTTGAGTAGAATACAAGACAAAAGCTTTTCATCTAATAAGGAACTTCAAATGATTAATTTTTCCAAAACAAATATTAAGAGCCTTCCATTGATTTTTAGTCTGAAAAAGCTCACTCATCTCTTGCTAAGTGGATGTTTAGGGGTGGATAGATATCCTAGCATTAGGTCGGTAGCTACTCTCCAAATTATTGATCTCTCAGATGCCTGCAATTTTAAGGAGTTCCATGATCAATCTCTAGCAAATCTAACTGACCTTAAGATCCTTGATCTATCGAGAGTTGCCGTTGATCATTTACCTTCTAACATTAGCAATCCTCATCATTTGTATTTAAACGGTTGTACTAGCCTAAGTAAGCTCGAATGCATAGAATTACTTAAAGACCTTGAAACACTTGATATTTCAAAAGCGCAGGTCAAAACTCTGCCATCTCTTTCCCATCTCCATAACCTGCGCCGGCTATTATTGTCATGTTGCTCAAACTTGGAGGAGTTGCCTGACTTGAATTCCCTTACAAAACTTGAGGTGCTTGATCTTTTTGGTTGTAGTGCTTTGACAGTACTACAAGATAAATCCTTTGAGCAGATGCCTCACCTTTGGAAGCTCGACCTTTCTGAGACTAAGATCAAATGGTTTCCATCACTTTCAAATCTTAGCAACATCCGCCACCTCCTACTGAAAAAATGTACTGGCTTGAGAGTGCTTCCACCACTAGAGTCTCTATCAAAACTTGAGGAGCTAAATTTATGTGGTATTGGACTTTTGAGAGAGACTGGAGCTGATTTCTTGAACAATATGATTTGCCTCCGAATTCTTGACCTCTTTGAAACCTTGCTTCAACAGTTACCATCCATGTCAAACCTCAAAACCCTCCATGAGCTTTATCTAAAGGGTTGTCCAGACTTGACAACTGTGCCTGATTTGAAAGAGTTGACAAAGCTTGAGGTCCTAGATCTGTTTGAAACTGCAGTTGATGATCTGCCATCCCTGGACAACTTTAGCAACCTCCGTCAGCTTCTGCTTAGAGATTGTCCAGGCATAAATGAGTTTCTGCAACTGGAAATGCTCAATCTGCTTGGGGCCACTCTTGATAAACTCCCTTATGGGATCTCTGAATTGACTCATCTTGATCGCCTTGATCTGCCAAGCATGAAGGATACTCAAGGAATTGGCAGAAGCAATATGAAGGAACTATATGAGTATGGCTGGGATATCTCCAGTTTTCCAGCTGAAACGGTTGGGGATAATAACAAGCCTCCTGTATCTGTAACTGGTTCCCAGTTTCTTCAACTTCTGGAAAACAACCCGTCATTGTGGAAAACAAGCTTCAAGCAATTCCACTTCTCTGTTCATCCCTTCGAGGAGCAAGATGGAAAAGGAGTTCTATCTTTCTACAGAGATGATTTTATATTCAGAGATATCTACTTCAAAGCCAGACATTTATCTGATTTTGAAGAGCAACGGTCATTGGAAATAAGAGGTTTCCACCATTCCCCCAAGGGTATTGAGGATGTTCTCAGTCGTGCTAACTGCTTATTCTTAATTGATAATGCGTTTGAAAGATGGTTATCTGATTTAGGTGCCTCCAACTGTAAGGTACTGAAAAGCTGTTTTATAGACAGAAGCAGAGAAATGGAGAGTGTCTTTCATGAAAAGGAGGTAGAAGAGATAATGCAACTGGAAGGTTTAGAGGTCTTATGGGTTTCCAATTCTGTCAATTTGAAGCACATATACCCTGGGAACTGGCAAAGTGACACCTTTGAAAACCTTAAGCAGCTGTATCTTGATTGTTGTCCAAAGTTGTCTATTGTTTTCTCTTCTTCCCAGCTGCCAAAAAACATGCAGGTTCTTCAAATTAAGTTTTATGATGAATTGAACGCTGTGTTTGAAGGATCATCAACAGAACCCAAATTGCCAAATTTAGATACATTGTGTCTGTGGGAACTGCCAAAATTGAAGAGCATTGGGTGTTCATTGCCATCTCTGCTAACTCAAACAGTTTGGGGATGTCCAAATCTATAGGAGTGAAGAAAATGTCTAATTGTCTCTAGAAGTTTATAGATTTCCTGGATACTCTGCTGCACTGATTTTTAAGAGTATTGACACTTGAATCTTGCAAGCAAAGAGGGAACTTAGATGTTTGACCCTTGAGGGTTATTCCATACTCATAAATATTGTCCCTTTGTTAAGGGGAGTGTTTCGGGACCATCCGGCCTTGTTTTTGACAGCCTTTGCTTGTCCCATTGGAATCACTGATAATAACATGGTTGAGTATAGGCTCTGCGCACTGGATTATAGATAGCGTTGAGTGCAAACTACAAATAGTTGTAGTTGAATCTGATTCTAGTCGAACCATGCATGATTTACGAAGGCAGCAAACGATGAATCACGAGCACCAAGTTCTACAGGTTTGCCTACAGCTTCTACATGAGTTCCATCATTTTAGTTTTTGTTTTGTCTAATGAACAAATGCATCACAATCCCCCTTTGTTTTTGCATCCAGAGATAGATGTGGCCCTCATTTGTTTCATTTTGAATCTTTTGTACTGAACTTCACTTTTTAATATAGTTGTGTTTTTGTTAAAAAAAAAACAGATGTTACCATTCCAGTTGGTAGACAATCTCGAGATTCCCCAAATGAAATCTTTCAGAGACTGTTTGCCATATGAAGGCACTGCACCTGAAGGAATTGTTGAAATTACAGTTTCGGTAAATAGCAGCCAACTCTATTAGATTTTGTTGTCATGGAATGCCCAAATTGTAGTGATTCCCCAGTGGCATGAATGAGGGCAGTTAACTCTTTGCTTAGACAAAACTGACATGGGGTGAGGAAATTAGGTTGACATGGGACAAATTCCTTGCAACATTGACCCTTTTGCTTTCAACATCTCACCTGAAGTGGTTACTTATAATTCACTTCCTTTTGTATTTGATGCATGTTTGTTCTCTCTTTTCCATCTATGTCCACTAAATCCTTGATGCATTTCAATTTGTAGGATGTCATCTGCCATGCAGTGTAGTTAATTTTTTGGGAACATTATTGGACTAATATTGAAAGAAGTGTTTTCTTTTTCCTTCCTTCTATTTTGATTTATATATATGTTTTGGTTTGTGATATTAAACTCCAGGGTAATGCAGTAATTGCAGATTTTAAGTTGCAACATTTTGTGTTGTGTCATTACTTTTGCATTTATGCCACATTCTTTATTCAACTGCCTCTTCTTTGTGTATTTCTTACAAGATTGTCTATGAGTTGTCGACGTAATGCACGGAAATTTTAGATGCAGAGGGTACATCAGTTTGATATATTTATACATTTACGTCTGCCTAGTGGATGCATATATGCATGTGTATTCTAGCTAGCGAAAGCACCAAGAAACACAGTTAACTTAAGCTGTTGATGGGGTTTGTTAATTGCTTCTTTGAAGTTTGCACAACAAAGATAAGAGAGAAATAAGTTAGGAACAGGAGGGGACTGTGTAGTAGAATTTTCTCCATAAATTTTCTTTATGAAAATTCTGTTTGTGAAACATTTTCCATTAACAATTGGGATAAGGAAAATTTTGAACATACAGAATGATGTAGCAGTAACATTATTTTATTATTGCAATTATGAACTTGGGGTTTTAAAATTTTATCTCTTAAAATCTTTATATTCATTGTCAAACCTTATTTGATTCAGATGAGTTATGTGCAGGAAGACCAAGTAGTGGTGGTTGACGTGAGAGAGTGACATTGTGTGTGGAAGTATTGCAGGTCCAAGCATGGAACCAAGGCCTTTCAGAACAAAATAAATGCTGGACCATGATGTTGGACATGAATGATCTGGTCCTAACCAGAGCTGGTGCATCAATATGCAACTCAAAATTCATATGATGAAAGTAGTTATCTCATATATATATATGTATATATATGTTTTTGAGTACTGGGGTTTCAACCATGACGACAATTTCGGATTTGTATTTTCTCTCTGAATGGTGTTTTCACTTTCCCAGTTTAAAGTTGTTTTGAGATTTGCTGTTCTTAAAAAAAGGTTTTTATTTTTTTGTCTCATAATTAGATTGGGCGAATGCAAACGCATGAAGTTGGGGAAATATATATATTGAGGGGAAATTCTATGGTTACACTGTAAGTTTTCTTAATGAAACTGTATATTCAATTGTATATAAAACAGAAGAATACATTGGTTCATATAGCAAGCTAACCCTAGAACTCAAAAAGGAAACAAATACCCTAATATATACATAATATATAAATTACCACATATACATGAAACATAATATTCTCACAGCCTTGCTCAAACTCAAGGTGGTTTAGCAGAAAACATTGAGAGTTTGCCAAGAAGAAACTGAAACCGAGCAGTGGTGTGAGTCTTGATAAAGAAGTCAGCAAGTTGCAAAGCCAAAGAGACGAAAAGAAGCGAGATAGAGGCAGACTGCAGATGGTGATAGACAAAGTGACAATCAACCTCAATGTGCTTTGTCTGCTCATGGAAGACAGTGTTGTGGACAATCTGAATAGCACTACAGTTGTCACAGTAGAGTGAGGTCGGAGAAGACTGAGGGACACCCAAATCAGATAAGAGACAACAAAGGCAAACAATCTCAGCAGTAGCATGAGTCATAACACAGTACTCAGCTTCAGCAGCAGAGCAAGCAACAATAGTTTGTTTCTTGCTTTTCCAAGAAATCAAGGAATCGCCAAGAAACATACAGAAACCAGATGTGGACTTGCGATCAGTAACATCACCAACCCAATAAGAATTATCATAGGCCATCAAATCGAAAGAGGAAGTAGAGGACAATAGTAAACCCTGAAAGATAGTACCGTGGAGGTAGCAATGAATCTAAACCAATGTAGCCCAATGGATGGAGCGAGGAGCAGAAACAAACTGGCTAATCACATGAATAACATAAGCAAGATTACGACAAGTAACTGTCAGATAGACTAAGCAACCCACAAGCTCGCGATATAAAGTGGGATCATCCAGAGGGATACCATCAGTAGAGTTGAGCTTCACATTAAGCTCGGTGTATTAGAAACCATAGTATCAGTAAGATTAACACGGTGAATGACCTCGTTAGCATACTTAGCCTGAGACAGAAAATAGCCCTTTGAAGAAGAAGCAACCTCAATACCAAGAAAATACCGCAATGGACCTAGATCCTTCATTTCAAAGGTGTGGAAGAGATGCTGCTTGACCTCAGAGATAGCAGACGAGTCAGAGCCAGTGATCATCATATCATCCATATAAAGGAAGAGAGCAACAAAATCAGCCGAGGTATGTCTTAGAAACAAAGCAAAGTCAGAAGCAGAAGGATGAAACCCAAGTTCAGTAACAATGGGCTGAAAGCGATCATACCAAGCACGAGGAGATTGCTTTAAACCATACAAAGCACACCGAAGACGACAAACCTGCCCAAAGGAATGGGGAAGGCCAGGGGGTGGACTCATGTAAACCTCCTCAGTGAGATGACCATTAAGAAAAGCATTCTTAGCGTCCATCTGATAGAGAGGCCAATGTCGAATAGCGGCAACAGAAATCAAGGTATGAATAGTAGTCATTTGGCAACAGGCGCAAAAGTCTTCTCATAATCAATACCATACTCTTGCGAGAAACTCTTGGCAACCAGGCGAGCTTTGTATTACTCGAGAGAATCATCAGAATGAGTGTTGACTTTATAAACCCATTTGTAACCAACTAGATTCTTGCCAGCAGGCAATGGAACCAACGTTCAAGTGTTAGTCTTCTGTAAGGCAAACAACTCATCATCTATAGTTCGAACCCAAGTGGGATCCTGACAGGCCTTCTAGTAAGACTGAGGTTTTGAAAAAGAATGAATAGTAGACAAAAAAGTACGATAGGAAACAAAAAAACATGTATTAGACCAACCCAACTTGTTTGGAGGATGATTCTTTCGAGTAAGCTATCAGTGTACAGTAGGATTAGAGTCGTCAGAAGCATGAGGATCAGCAGTAGGAGCAGAGACAACTGGGGGAGGGAGAGCCTGGCGACGAGAATAAACTAACAACGGAGGAGGAGAATGAACAGGTTGGGGAGAAAAAGGAGAAGAGGGAGTAGATTCATGGGGTTCAGTGGAGAAAGACTCAGTAGGAGGGGTGGTAGGAGGAGAAGAGGGAACACGTTCATGGGGAACAGTAGAGATGTACTCATCAAGAGCGACCTTAGAAGGAAATGGATTAATTTGAACCAAATCCTCTTTGAAAATCGAAGCAATGATAGGAGGAAACTGAAAGTAAGGTAGACGATCGAGAAAAGAAACATGACATGAGACATAAAGACGACGGGAAACAGGGTCATAACATTGATAGCCTTTCTGAGTAGGACTATAACTTAAAAATACACATAAGATAGACTAGGCACTAAGTTTGGTCCATCTTTGATGGAAAGAAAGACAAAACAAGCAAACCTAAACACACGAAGGAGGGAATAATTAGAAGTTTGGGAGAACAAAGCCTCATAAGGAGACTAACCAGAAAGAAGGGGGAGTGGGCATGTGGTTGAGAAGAAAAACAGTAGTAAGAACTGCCTCACTCCAAAATGGACCCGGAACTGAGGCAGAGATAAGAGAAGACCTAGCTGTCTCAAGGAGCTGATAGTGTTTATGCTTAGCTCGACTATTTGGGGTAGGCGTATCTGTATAAGAAGTTTGGTGAATGGTACCCAAATTGGCCAAATACTCACAGAACTCATTTTAAAAATATTCCCCACCCAAGTCAGACCGTAACACTTTAATGGTAAACCCAAACTGAGTAGTAATCATAGATTGAAAGGTACGGTATATCTAATAGAAATCGGACTTATGCGTCATGAGATAAACCCAAGTGTAACGGGTGCAATCATCAACAAATGACACATAGTATGCAGAACCTCTTTTGGTGAGAATAGGAGAAGGGCCCTAAACATCAGTATGAACTAAAGAAAACGGTGTATTAGATATAGAAGTACTTTTACGAAAAGGTAAGGCTATCATTTTGGCAAGTTTACACTCTCTAACATTCAGTAAGTTCACTCGGAGAAACTTTGCCCAATAGACCTGATTGAGCTAAAGACCGTAAGCGGTCAGCAAACAAGTGTCCTAATCTAAAATGCCACAAGTAGAAAAGACAGGACAGAGAATCTAATTGAAAAGAGAAAAAAGTAGTTAGAGAGGTTGTCATAGGCAGATGCAAGCTCTCTATTACATAGAGGTCTCAAACTCTACAGTTCGTCCCAATCTACTGCTTGGACATCCGATCTTGCACATAACAGATAAAAAAAAAAGATAACATCAAAATCGGAGGCATCGAGTTGACTAATAGATAATAAATTGACAAATAACTGAGGAACATAAAGGACAGATGGAATGGAGACAACATGCATAGCAGACGGTAAGGTAGACCCAACAGATATAACAGACATAGCAGATGGTAAGATAGACCCAACAAATATAAAAGTCAAACCAAAGCCAAGCATTAACAGTAATAGGAGAGGGAGAGAGAGTACAATTTTAAAGTAGAAAGAGATGGGGAGTCATATGATGAGAGGCACCAGAGTCAAAAATCCAGATAGACAAAGAGATACCTGAAGAAGTCCCAAGCAAACCTGAATGAAGAGAGGAAACAATGGAGGCAGATGGGGATGGCTGAGAGGTAGACAGTGTATGCTGAAGTTGACTAATCTGAGCACTCAAGGAAACCAAATTAGGATTAGGAGCTGGAGCAGATACAGTAGAACCACTGGGAGCCTGAAAATTACTCGGAGAATAAGGGTAAAACTGGGTCCGAGACTGCTGAGAAGACGAGCCAGACAAACATCCCTTCTTGGGACATTAATACTTCTAATGGCCCCTCTAATGGTAGAAGGCACACTCATTTGATGCCAATAGCCCCTTCTTGTTTACGAATACACTCATAATATTGGAAGTCAAATGGGTCCAACCAAAACTAGAGATACAAACTGTAGTCGAAATATAATAAAGAAGTAACTCCAAAACAGGGTCAAAATATAATAAGAGAGGCACTTCAAAACACCTAAACAAACAGTACCAAATGGGATAAATATACATAGTGGGTCAGATACGATCAAACCTGAATCAAGTTCCAAAATAGTGAAATAGAGATCCCGATGGGTCGAACAGAGAGAAGAGGCAAGTCACTTTGGTCAAACCCTTCGCCGTGAGAGGCGGCTGCGCAGACGATGAACTACGAATGGAACCAATGATCGAAGATCAGTAATCACGAACAAATGACGAACCCTACCACGTCGAAGGCAACCAACGATGGATAAGAGAAAGAGAGATATGTTGCGAAGTCTAGGATAAACAACGAACCAGAGAGGGTTGAACCAAATGACTGAAGCCAATTGAACGACTAGACGAACCGAAGAGACGACTGAAGCAGACGAACTAGAGAATTGTGATCTGGGGAGTGCGATTCGAACTCAGATGATTCGCAACTTGATACGTTGTAATTCAAGCTCAGATGGGCTGCACAAATTCAAAAAAATAGAACCAAAGAACTCAAACGAACCAGAAAAGACTTCTGGAAGGCTAGGGTTTCAGACCTTGCTCTGATACCATGTAAGTTTTCTTAATGAAACTGTATATTCAATTGTATATAAAACAGAAGAATACATTGGTTTATATAGCAAGCTAACCCTAGAACTAAAAAAGGAAACAAATACCCTAATATATACAGAATATATATACAAATATCCTCTTGGTTACGACTTTTGTCTCTTTAGTTATGATCTACTGTGATGTTAATTATGACATATGTGTGGAGTTAGTGAAGACATTATTTTGGTTATCAATCTAAAATTGTTTGGTTATACCTTATGTGATGTTTGGTTATAACTCTTTTTTCTTTTTTTTGTTATGACTTACATGGAATTGAGTTGTGACATTTATGCTAATCAAACTCACAAATTTCATATTTTGCATATGGTAAACACCCTTTTAGCATTACCCTATTTTGAGATAGAGAATCCAGTGACCTTATAAGACAAAAAACACTTCGCCCAAAATCCCATATCAAGCGTTTGTCGAAACCTTTTCTTCTTCTTGGTCTTTAGGAGCACCGCCTAGGGGGAGCGGGTTTCG